AATACGTATGCATGATAAATAACTACTCATGTTTATTATCTTATTTTTGTAAAATAGCATTCACTCTATAGAGACCGTCCTCACCTTCAACAACTATATGAAGTTTATACACAAAAGCATATTACCGTTGGCCAATCAATTCTCATTGTCCCAATTGTTCGTCATGACCATTGGCATTTTCTCAAAGTTAGATTGGATGAAAATGTTATTTTGCACTATAGCTCGTCAACTCATAGTTCTTACCTTGAGTCTGTTAATAAAGTTATCAACTTCATGGACCATATGAATACCGCATTTGATCCTAATAAAGTTTGGAGGGCATATCAATATAAGGCAATCCCATGCGAGTCTTAAAAGGGAACGTATGTTGCAGATTAACTTTATCACTTTATTAAAGAATTTTCACCAACATAAACTAACCACAAATAAGTTTTATATTTTGTAATTTGTAATTATGACTATGGAATATACGTTTACTTTTATGTACGGGCTATTCTCCAAAAAGGTGATGTACTGCATGTTACGCATGTTGATGATTCGTCAGAGGTAGTACATGTAAGGCTTGCAGCAAAGCTGATAATAGAAGGCTGGGAATTAAAAAATGCTCAGTGGCACATTAGACGCGGATGACCTAGAATTGAAGGAGAGTGCATCAATCACAGTTGTAAAAACTGAGAAAGAATCTTAGCTAGACAAAAAAAAGAATAATCTTTAACTTTTGTTTGTATAATCCAAATCTATGGGGTGTAATGTGATACTTATATGCTACTCTTCGTAGATTAACATTAACTTATCTAGTTATAACTATATTTATACAATGTTTTCTGATTTCTGTAATGTACATAACAAGAACATGTTGTAAGTTATGGTTAACAACTCAAATGATATTGTCAACACCTTACAAGTTATGGTTAATAGTCATAGGTTACAGTTAACAGATTACAGATAATAGTTAACAGATTATGGATTATAGTTAATAGTTTACCGATTATAGTTATCAATATACCAGTTAAGGTTAACATGCTATGTATTATGGTTAACATGTTAAACGGGAACATTCATACATGAGCGTGATGTAGAACCGCTGCACTTCACAGTTTACTTTCAAGAAACAAAGTTTACATATTAATGCCGTAGCATTTGTACCAACATTATATATCACATTCTGGTTATAGTTCATTATATCATATATTTATTATATATATATATATATATATATATATTATATATACTAATATATATATTATATATATATATATATATATATAATATAATATATATATATATATATATATATATAATTATATTATTATATAATATATAGTATAAGAGAGAGAGAGAGGGGGGAGATGCGAGAGACGATAGCATCGAAGACGAGAGGATGGAAGGAGAGCCGCCTAGAATTTCAGTTCATTTATATAGCTATTATCAATCATACAAAAGTGTTTCACATCCCAAATATCAATCAGTGATCGGTTCCTTGCCCACGTCCCTAATATTAATTAGACATCGGTTCTTTGCAAGTTACTCAGTTGTGACCTTCGGCGTGGCATCGATAACATTTCAAAGACTGTTTGTAAACTATTCTATTGTTGATATGTCGTGTTCTATTTCTCCTATTTCTTTTGGTAGTATGTGGTGGAAGTAGCTCGATCTCATCCCATGACACACTACACTTCTCAAAATCTGGTATGAGATAGAGAATTGGCTCATAAGTCCTTTAAATGCTTCTATAGACATAAAACAATTGCAATATTAGTAAATATCTCTCTTCATATACAAGATGACTACACATGCATGTTTACAAAGAATTCACATGACGTCCCAAGCTCGGCAAGTGCATGTCTTCTTCTCCAAATCAACCCGGATAGTTTTATGGAATTGCACTTCAAATATGTCATTTTCAGCTTGTTTAAATCCAATAGACGACCTTTATCTATATTTTCTTTAAGCACTATCTCTGCTTTTGGACAGAGATATCCACGCCATTTATCTACAAGTACTCGTCGATTATTCATTCAGACCATGATTTGTTTATGAATATGCTCAACCATTTGTAGAATTCGTAGCATTCTAGCCTCCTGTACCCAATTGTTAAAAGACTCACCGATATTAGATGTTAAGTGTCCATACTTGAAAATATATTAGGAGAGCTTTAACATTTATACAATGTAAGTTAACAATTGACAATTAACAGTCAAACAATGTAAGTTAATAGAGAACTATTAATAGTTAATAGTTATATATTTTAAGTTAGCAGTTCTAGAATGGAAGTTAACAGTTATACTATAAAAATTAACAGTTTCGTCATGAAAGTTAACAGTTACGAAACAAAACTTAAATTCAGTGACAAAAAGGTTCCTTGTCAATTCATTTAATCTAAATGTGCTATATAACGATACATTATTCTCGAAAAGAATGCATTTGCCCCCTCCTCTTTCCTTATTTGGTACTAAATCCCTAAGTTTTATCACTCTTTTCTAAGAAACTCTTAATTTTCTTTTTCTGGCAACAAAAGCCTTATATTAATAAGAAGGATTGTTGCTTCTTAGAAGAGAGGAGTAAAACTTAAGGGCTTCATTGTTTAAAAAAGAAAGCTAAGGACTTATTAAAGGAGGGGTGAAACCTAGGGATTTGTTTGTCAAAAATAAAAAATCTAGGGCTTCTTAGAAATAAGAAAAAGATAAAACTTAGGGGATGAAACTTCTTCCCCGGTATAAGTTGTAAAGAGAGCACCTCATATGATTTTTTTAACCATCTCTTTTCTACTATGAATTAATTCATGTTATCATATATCAATCTACCAAAATAAATAATTCATATATCAATCTACAAGCGTCTTTGATTCATCTTAATCATTATCACCAAAAGGAAAGGGGAAAAAAATATCTAAAAGAAAGAAAACACCACGGGAAAACTTAAGGAATTCTTGTGATCATAACATGGAGGTGTTCTTTGTTTTTTATTTTTATTTTTCTTGCCTTTTCCTTATCACATAAACAAAACAATGGTCTTTAAGGGTCTCCAAGCATAGAATAAAAACTTTTTAACATGTTTCAGCCTAAGTAGCACTTAAGGGAGCACGTACAATCAAGACTTAGAGAGGCTTTAAGCCCTTAAAGCCTCATTCTTTGAATTTAGGCAGCTTTAAAGATGTAGACTTGTGATTTTATAAAACTCGCATCTTAAACAATTCATGGAATGAAAACTTTCTTCTCAACAAGCCTCAAAACAAAACCAAGTACTGTATATCTAAAATCAATTACTAATTGCTCGAGTACAATCATATCTTGTCTATCCTACTCCGTCACTGAACTTGAGCTATTAGAGAACTTATAAAGTTGTAGCTAGCTACTATGAGTTTTCATCTATGCATTGAACCCAATCCAATTTATAAAACTCTCATGCAATTATTTATAGTTTGTTATTATTAATCTCACAATGACGTACGCATGCATGTATGCATTATTATGCTGCACGCAGGACAAAGTTGGTTCATAGCTTATATTGCCTCCTCAACATCTCATAAGCCATTCAACTTTACACTACTATTCTAAGAAGACCTTGAGCTACTTTTACGATTTATCGAGCTCCAAGAGCTTTTATTTTTATTGTACACATTTAGTCCTCATGGTTTTTATCTTTATTGCATACATTTAGTCTCTATGGTGATTTAGCGCAACTACAGAAGGGCATAATAGTCTTGTCAAATCTATTTTGCGAGGAAAGAGGATTGTCACTCCAAGCAACCGATACAACCGATTCTTTAAGGCTATGTTTGGTTTGAGAGAAAGGGAGAGAAAAGAAAAAGAAAGAGAAAGTAAAAAGAAAGGAAAAAGAGAAAAGAAAAAGAAAGAGAAAGTAAAAAGAAAGGAAAAGAAAAAGAAAAGAAAATGATATTCTTTTTATTGTTTGGTTAGAAAGAATATTGTAAGGAAAGTTAAAAGAAAATTCAACAGAAAGTCATTTTCTCTTGTTTGGTTATCTTTCTGATTAAAAGAGGAAGAAAATTATCACAACATAATTTTAATTCGTACTTTTTGGAATTAGATTTAAATTTTAAATAATTTACAAAAAATAATTAAATTAAATTGTGATTCTATCATATTTATAAAAAAATTACAAGTTACCGAACATGTTTGCACAATCTTAACTCAAGAAAATTTAGTCAAATTTACGATGACTCTAATTTGCGTATAATCTTGCATGATCTTGGACTTGCAAGTTATTCATAACCTCAGGTGAAGAAAGATGATTCCATATAAGCTCTAGACAATGATGCAGTTCAAGCATAATTATTCAACATTAGTATCATTCATATCTTAGGAAGTAATAGGTTAATAAACATGTATTTAAAAAAATTTGGCAATTTCCTAACATAAAAACTTGAGTGGCCATCAACATCAAGTTTGTAAATATTAACAATCAGAAGCACAACCACAATTCCACATTTCTCACACATAATATTTACAGAAAGAAAGGTCAATAAAAGAATCGGTTTTGCCCAAACCATACAACCGATAAGAGATTTTAATTCCACTCACTTATAATGTGGTTTCTTTCTGCATTATTCCAATTCTAACATAGATTACAATGTTGTTTTGGATGATGTTTGGAGCTGGACATTATTTAGAATGAAATTTAGAACTTTTGGGGTTTAATAGGTTGAAAATTTAGTTATAAGCAGTCAAGAAATGAGGTTAAGCACAATCGCATACGTTATACAGGAACCAGAACCTCATATTAAAGTGAAATAATTTCATAGCTCTCAGAGATCTTTCAAGTATTATGTTGTGCTTGCTTGACACTTGACCAGCAAACTGCAGAGATCTTTCAAGTATTATGTTGCGCTTGCTTGAAACTTGACCAGCTTGACTGCAGTGCTACCACCAAATAAACACTGTTCTCACAGTGGCCACCTTCAAACATAAAAACTTGAGAAGGAAACATTAAAAATTTGACAAATACTGCTTCAGCTTTGCTTAGTCATTTAGCACACATTAAGCAAAAAAATAAACCACCATCACAAAGTCGTTCCACAAAAGATAATTCCATTCCGTATGCAACGAAATGCAGCCTAATTAAGACGTGTTTAGTTCAGAATACCAACAGCTTAAAACCAAAACAAGGCTGCCACGTGCATTTTGATTTCTGTGGCATACAAGATAATATAACTGAAAAAACATACACCCTGAATTCTAAAACAGAGGCTAGATACTGTAAACTTTCTGATGCCATCTTTTGCCTACAACAGCCGTGATAAACCCTACAGTTACCATTTACAAAAAAAACCCAGGTGAAGACTTCGTTACTTCTCAAAGTGAGGATTCAGCAACCCTGAGATTTCAAGAAACCCGACCCGGTCTTTGCCAGCGAATATGCCCTTGAGCTTCTCATCACACACAATAATCTTCTTGTTCTCTGGGTCCTGGTGAGAATAATATATTAAAAAAAATATTCAGCAATATATTACACTAACATAATCTGTCCCGACTTAAAGTTGAATCAAAGATGCATATGTTGTATACGCAAATACTTGACATAAGACGCATGATGCTTCTGAAATTAAACAATGGAAGTGATGTCCCAATAATGAAGTTTTGACTATTGTATGGAACAACAAGTATCAGAAATGGGATTTCCGACAAACACCCAACTAATGGAGAGTTTTTTGATATTGTCACCATGAACTTAAGGAGAAAATAGACCTCACAATGTGGTTTCCAGAGCTGATTTCTCCAACAGAAGTAACCCATGTAGATGAAATACAAGCTATCACCATCTCATAACTTTGTCAAACTAAATATAATTCTAAAGCAGGTAATTTGTAGGATTAACTTGGATGCCCAAACTTCCAAAAATTAACTTTGAAGCCAAAAAATTACCTTAACAATGGTTATCAAAGTTTTTTGAACTTTGGTGTATTTTCGGGCAACCAAAAAATTAAAAACTTTTGGTTATCGAATTAAAATTGGTGTAAATTTTTTGGATATTTAAATTGGTGTAAATTTTGAGATATTTAAGTTTGTATAAAAATTTTCGCCATCTATTATGCAAGCATTGCCCCTAAAAACACCAGCTAGCAGTCAAGTGCAATAATCATGATCATAAAGCAATAAACTATGATGGAGCATTTATTTCATCCGTTGCAGAATATGGACAAACAACATGCGATTCAAAGGATAGAACAAGATGCAACTCAACGGATAGAACAACATGGAAACAATTTTAACATATGTTGTTCCAACTTGGTCAACTATTCAGTCTACAGCGCACAATAATCCAACAAGTAGATTGCCTGAAATTGTACAATGATCAGGCAAGTTCCTCGAAAATTAGTGTGAAAATACTTCACTTTGTACTTTTTGTTTTAATAGCAATGAACATAGTGTGAAAATAGTTCACTTTGTACTTTTTGTTTTAATAGCAATGAACATACATGCTACATTGCAAAGAAGTAGGGGAAAAAGCATCTGAAACATCCTTGTTTTTGATCAATTTACCAGCAAATCTGTCAATAATAACTATCTTGGGGAAATATTCTAGTTCCTCGGCATCCTTACTAAAAAGGTAGCAAGGAACAACAATATTATTAACAGATGAAGACTATCATATTCCATTTTTTGGTCCACCAATAAAGTAGCTAAGCCATTTGCATCATCAAGAAGTTTCAGTGAACACATGGACATATGTCGCACAAAAACACTTATTGAACACTCCTCGGGCGAGTGTTGGCAATTTTAAACATCTATTCAACTGTATAATATATTTATTAATTTGGTACTTGGACACTTCTAGCGCACACTGCTTTATGCATGTTGAAACATTTATTAATACCACATGAAAATCAAGACATCTATTACTACTATCATTTGCATGCTGAAGACCATATATTACAGAAAAAAAATTTCAAAACATTGGCTTACATTGATGATGATAAACTTCAACTATGGTTCAATAAAGGAGGAGCATAATAAGTTATTTTACAGAAAATGAAGCATCCGGGGCACCTTCCAAATCTAGTATTAGAATTTAGGAAAGTATGTGCATGCAGTTTCTTGACTGTATATATATGCATTTAATTTCCCAAGGAATGTTTACGTAATCATGTAATCTCTTTCAATACACAACCATATGTATGTTTTTTGATCTTCACTAGTCAATGTATCCTACCAATGATGAGTTTCCATGTTTGTGTCCCTGTATCTTTATCTCATGCTTTGCAGTTAGAAACTTCGTGGAAAATACGCATAACCTCATATTACCAAAATGATATTATAACTTTCCCCTTAATAATGGTGTTTTCATATAAAAGGTGTAACACATCTTAATCTTATATAAGAGGATCAAATTAATTTTACCACATCATGGAACCAACAGTCAAATTTAAACACATACCACATCATATATATTTATATCTATGCATGTATTTACATATGCATAGAAGCATATACACACATGTATACATAGACACACACATGCACATACAGTTAGCGAGAGACATATATGTATAATACAATCAAGATTCAAGTCCTAATGCAGTTTCTTGACTGTATCTATAGGCACGAATACATGATTGTTCAGCTGGGTGTGGGCGCACGATATGGAGCCTGTAGTATAACTCAATTCGACTACCTAACAAGGTAAAAACTCAATTCCAAAGCTATTTATTTAAGAAAAAAATTAAAAACCAATACGTTAAAAAAAATTTGATGATGCGGAGGCTCTAGTATAATTTAAAAGCTAATACTTATATTACATAAATGCATTTATTATTAAGACACAATTTTAATATAATTATACATTGCATGCTTTAGTAAATAATATAAAAAATGTGATTAAGTTACTTTATATAATTATACACAACATGTTTCGGTTAGCATTATATATAATCCCATTAATTTCATACATTTGTTGTTACTCAAATAAAAACAAAAATTAACAAAGTCACAAAGAAAACTCAGATCATAACAAGATTCTCAATCAAAAACCCCAATTGTGAAGCAAAACCCTATATTTCCATCAAAATTTCTACTTTTTAAGCAAAAGCCCTCACTTTTCATAAATAACCGTAAATTTAAGTAGAAAAAGCCAATTGTTGCAAGAGAAGGGAAAATTCACAAAAAAATATGGATTCTAATTACCTCTTTGAAGATTTGTTGACTTGAAGGAGAATAGCACGTTGGATAATTTTTTAGGCAGTTCGGTGGGAGAAGATTAGTGAAAATTTAGTGTAGGTATTTAGCTTTTTATTAGTAAAATACCATGTACACATATGATGAATATAGTCAATTGGGTTTAAAGATCAATGTATTTGATCTCTATGGTAAAATGTTTATATTTTTTCTCTTGTACTATTTATGAAATTAACTTACATTTTTGCTCCATTTTCAGTTCAAATGTATGAATCCTGGTAATTATTATCTTTATTTTCAAGTCGTTAGAGGTCCCATATTGCTGCAGTAGCTTAACATAGCAACAAGAGATGTAATCACATTAGCGATCCCAAATACAAGACTAGATCCTTGCAACCTATGTTAGCCACTGATTTAGACCTAGAACTGTATTGTAACTTTATAAGCTTATGCGGTGAAAAACTCCTATAGGAGCATGTACTTACGAGAATTTGTTAGAAAGAAGATTACGCCACATTTCACCGTGGGGTACTTACGAGAATTTGTTAGAAAGAAGATTACGCCACATTTTACAGTGGGTGTACTTACGAGCAGTGTTATTGAGGCGCAAGGCGCAATGCGGGGCGCAAAGGTCCCTTACGCGCACCATGCGCAAGGCGCACAACAAGGCGCGCGCCTCGCTAACTGAGGCGCATAACTCAAATTAATATTTACAAACATCATAAGACAGAAACATATAAGCAACATATTAGTTACCTACATCCAAAATTATGAGAATATCAACTTAAATCATCAATTATGCTAACTGAATTTTTAAAGTAACAAAAAAGATACAAGAAACATGTATTTAAATCATCAAATTAAGTGATTAACAATTATGAGCATATGTTTATAAATTGTCACATAAAAGACTAAGAAATATAATTAACAAACATGACTATTTATAATTTTCTAGTTAGTATTCTTAATTGATATTTGCTACTTAGCTTGAAAAGATGAAGAATGGATATAATAATTACATATTTACATGTTCATAATTTGCTATTAGCATGCTAATTAGAGAAGGAAGTTACAATTAGCAAACAAGTATACTAAATTACTAATTATTGTGTTCTTTTTATAGGTTAAACATAAAAAGATAAAAATAGATTAGCAACTAGTAAGAAAGAGTATATTACATGATATAAATATGTAATTATGTAAATTATTTAAAAAAATAGAAAAAATAGTATGTTACATAACACAGGTGCGAGGCGCACGTGAGGCGCACGCGAGGCGCGAGCGAGGCGCATGCAAGGCGCGAGCGAGGCGCATGCGAGGCGCACGCGAGGCGCGCGCCTCGCTGCGTGCAGCGCCCCGCCTCGCGTGCGGGGCGCATTTCGCCCAGGCTGAAGCGCCCCGCGCCTGGGGCGCGTCCGGGGCGCGCGCCTCAATAACACTGCTTACGAGAATTTGTTAGAAAGAAGATTACGCCACATTTTACCGTGGGTCCCCGCCCATCTCCCTCTAAACTCATCTTGTGCATGAATAAGCATTTAATTTCCCAAAGAATGTATATGTAGTCATGTAATCTCTTTTTGTACACAACCATACAAAATGTTTTGTGATCTTTACTAGTCGCTATATGCTATATATGAGTAATTTTACTGTTTGTGTTCCATATCTTTATGCATTGTTATCGAGGAGCAAGGCGCAATGCGGGGCGCAAAGGCCCCTTACGCGCACCATGCGCAAGGCGCAAAACGATACGCGCGCATCACTAAATTGAGGCGCACAACTCAAACTAATATTTTTTAACATAAGACAAAGAAGCATATAAGAAACATGTTTATAAATTGTCACATAAAAAGACCAAGAAATATAATTTCACCTACTAAATCACGAAAGAGTCTTAATTAGCATGCATATCATAGAGAAGTTCATAAGTTACCACAAATCATAATGCAAGATAATTTTCCAACATAAGCAAAAGTCTATGAAACAAAACAAGCAAGTGACAAATAAGAAATATGTATTTTCATTTAAAATATGATATATGTATTTTTAAGTAACAATTAAGTGATTAAAAAACATTATTGTTCATAATTTTCTAGTTAGCATTCTTAATTACTATTTGCTAATTAACATAAAAAGATGGAGAATGGATGTAACAATTACATACTTACATGTTCATAATTTTCTAGTTAGCATGCTAATTAGAGAATGAAGTTATAATTAGCAAACAAGTATACTAAATTACTAATTATTGTTTCCTTTTTATAGGTTAAACATGAAAAGATGGAGAATGGATTAGCAACTAGCAAGAAAGAGTTAATTACATGATGTAAATATGTAATATATAAATTATTTAAAAAAAATAGAAGAAAGAGTCTATTACATGACGCATGTGTCAAGCGCACACAAGACGTGCGCGTGCAATACCCCGCCTCTAGTGCGGGGCGCAATTGTCCCAGCCCGCAACACCCAACGCTCGGGGCGCACGCCTCGATAACAATGTCTTTATGCATGCTTTGCAGTGTACCAACTACTTCAAAACTTCATGGAAAATACACATAACCTCATGCTACCAAAATGAAAATACCATTTCCCCTTAATAGTGGTGCTTACATATTGTAGACATTAAGTTAGTCACATCTTAATTTTACATAAAGGAGCAATCAATTTAACCAAATTATAGAACCAAAGGTCAAATTTACACACATATCACATCATATATATTTATTTATATGTATGGTTACAAAAAGTGCTAGGAGGCTTAGGCGTCAGACTTGATGCCTAGACCCTAGGCGTGGCCTAGATAGTTCTCCTATTTTTCTTATTTCTTATAACAATAACTGATAATAAATGTTAATATTATAGAAAGCGCTAGGCACCACTAGTTGCCGAACTAACACCTACACCTAGGCGCATAGGCAGATTTTTTTCTTGGTTTAAATTTTGGTGAAGGAGGTTTTCTAAAAAATTGAGGAGATGGAAGTGTTCATAGCCAATGGAGGTATGGAGAGTTTGAAGGAGGTTGGTGGCTACAGCGAAAGAAATCACGATCAAGAGATAAGAGATGCAGTCCGCATAAGCGGCCTACACTCTCCTTGGGGCTTCCAAAACCTAGGCAGGTGGCCTAGGTGTTGCCTAGGTGTCGGTAGGCGTCGGGCTAGGCGCCCACTTTTTAGAACACTGATTGTATATGAACACGTGCACACACATGTATGCATAAGCACACACATTTAGAACAAGTGATGTAAAATACAATCAAGATTCAGTCCCCCAAGCTAGCATTTGGAAGGCTCCATGTCAAGTACTTTAGACAGAATGACTCAAATACTCTGTCATATATCATAAAATATCCTTGTTACTTCATTCTATTAGTGAATTATTTCGGCCACTTTGTAATCAAATAAAATCATGAATAAATCAACATCATACTAACACAAATAAAATCCAAAGCAAACACAAAAAAAGTCAACATTCCTCAAATGATAAGAGTGAATCAACCCTTCCATCTGCCATCAAGACCTTCTCTTTCCCTTGCATCTAACTAATCCTTTACCAACATCCAAGCCTTTTAGTCACTAAGTCAGCCTTTAAATTGAGCCACAGCTGGCTAAAACAACGCAATCTAAAGTCTTTCCTATATTATGCATAGATCGTCTTCATGCATTGTTTTACCAAGCAGTGCACCTTTCGAGTGGATATAAGGTAAAAGAACACACACACACATGACTTATGTCACCCCCCCTCCCCCCCCCCCCCCCCAAAAAAAAAAAAAAAACAAGGAACAAAAAAGAACACACTAAAACTGTCAGGTAGCGGTTCAAAAACCTGTTAAAACAATTATCTAAAGCTTTCTTATACATTTAACTGTACTAACTCAAAACTTACGTGGTTAGAGCATTAAAAATCCTTTAATACATTTATCCATACATCTATTACGAAGCACATTTTTAAGGCATTCACCAAAGAAATAATCACTTGTTAACCATATTTTTAAGCAGTTGAAAAGCCAAGGTAAGCAATTGTTCATAGATATCTTAGACATTTCACCATACCCAACCTTTTAGCTCCTTATCTTTAACTTTTAGGTTGCATCTAAAAACCCTAAACCCTAAACCCTAAACCTAGTAAGGGAAAAAAACTAAAAAGAAAAACACAAAGAAAATTGGGATTAGATTACACCTGAAGATTGTTCTCCTTGATGTAGTCCCAAATCCGCTTCAGCGCCTGAGTCCTCGCAATCTCCTTCACCCCGACCACCGCCTGCAACGCCGGAGACACCGGCTTTGGCTTCGTGATTCCTCGAGGCTGCCTTTTCGCACCTGACTCCGCCGCC